TTGACTGCCCACCTCTCAGCTTATTCTGCATGGAGGAAAAGTTGAGAGTGGAGGTGGTTGGTATCACAGTTGTTTTGCATATTGATCTTTATCACTCCACCAAATGCATTCAGTTCTGTCTTGCCTAGTAAGACTAGGAATGAAGTCTCTCTGAGGTTCTGAGTGGGGTGGGAGAGGGCTGCCATTTCACTACAGCCTCCTCCTGGGCAGTGGTTTTAATCTACCAACATTTCTCACCTTCCAGAAAATTGGTGAAATCACATTTGTACTGGTAATCTTTAACTCCTCTTTCCTTTTCTCTTTGTTGTCTTAAGGTTAGTACTCCTTTTCCTATTTCCCTAATCGATTTTAACGGCGTTTACATTGGTACAAGAGTGTAACTCAAGTGCTCAGTACATAAAATTCAACCAGTTCTCACCATCTCACTCTTGCCTCTGACAAATAGAGAATTACAGATTAGAGAGACATTTATTTCTTAGTAAGAGTAACCACTAGTAGAATTAAAAACAAAGTATCAAATTTCAAAATACCAAAAATGAGTAAAAGACAGAAATCATATAATAAATGTTATAAAGAATCAAGAAGCGAGACAGAAGGATCACCTGAGCCCAGCTGGTTGAGGCTATGGTGGCCATGAACATGCCACTGCACTCTAGCCTGGGCGACAGAATGAGACTCCAACTAAAAAAAATTAAAAAATTAAAAAGAATCAAGAAGAATTTAAAAAATTATTTTAAATAATTTTTTAAGGACTGAATGAAGATAAAGATATCTCATTCACTGATTTATATTTATCATTATAAATCATGGGCCATAAAAGGCAAACTCTTAAGGCTATTAAGAGACAACTAAGCCGGGCTCAGTGGCTCAGCCTGTAATCCCGCGCCTTTGGAAGGCTGAGGTGAGTGGATTGCCTGAGCCCGCGGGTTCGAGACCCACCTGGGCAAATTGGCGAGACCTCATCTCGCCAATAAATAAAAAATCAGCCGGGCGTGGTAGCGCGCGCCTGTAGTTCCCTCTACTTGGAAGGCTGAGGCGGAAGGATCGCTGGAGCCCAGCAGGTTGAGGTTGTGGTGGCCAGGAGCAGCCACTGCACTCCAGTCTGGGCGACAGAGTGAGACTCCAACCCAAAAAAAAAAAGAGACAACTAGCTCTTGAGCCACCCTTAGGCTCCAGCCCACTCCTAATTCTCTGGATTGTACTGCCTCTCCTGCTTAATAAATCTCTATGTTCAGGGGAAATAAAAAAAGAGACCGCTAGGGGGATAAAGGACACACAGACAACCACTAGGTACTATTTCCACTACCAGAGGGAGAGAGGGCTTGCTAGAAGTCCAGACCTCACCTGCACACGATTCAATTATATAGTAAATCCTTATATGTACCCCACAACTCTAAAATAAAAATAAAAAGTTAAAAAAAATCATTATATGTTAATCCAAGAAAAACACTAAAACCAAAGAGTAAGATTATAGAGAACAACAGAAACTAGGTTGTGATATCAATAACAGAGAAAAGAGTTTAAAGCAAAAATAAAATAATGAGAGTTCACTTTACATTAATCAAAGGTATAATTTATAATGAAAATATAAAACCATTATATATCAAATAACATTGAAATTAATAAATTTAAAGAAATTAAATTATGTACCAAATGCATTAAAATAAATAAAGTCAAACTGTTAGATATTAAGAGAAATGAACAGAAATCCTACAGTATTAGAAATTTATCAGACTGTCTCAATTTTTGACAGCTCTAGCAGACATAAAATAAGGTATAGAAGATTAAAAAATGAAAATAATAATAACTAACTCTTGAGTTTCCACAAAGCTTTATACTTATCTCCTTTAACCTTTATACAAATTCAAAACTTGGACCGGTATAGTGGGTCACACCTATAATCCCAGTACTATGGGAGGCTAAGGCAGGAGGATCACTTGAGTACCAGAGTTCGAGACCAGCCACAGAGAGACCACATCACTACAAAAAATCAAAAAAATTAGCCAGTCATGGTGGCATGCGCCTGCAGTCCCAGCTATTTGGGAGACTGAGGCAGAAGGATTACCTGAGCCCAGGAGGTCGAGGCTGTGGTGAATCACGAGTGTGCCACTGCATTCCAGCCTGGGTGACAGAGTGAGACCCGGATTCAAAAAAAAAAAAAAAAAATCCCCCAAATTAAGTTTTGCTTTTTTTTTTTTTTTTTAAAAGAAATCCTTGCTAAAATCAGACACAACTCACTATTATTTGACAGGCCCTAATTAATTGGTTCTTTTTTAGAGAGTTGGGAGTAAAAATTCAGAAATAAATCAGTCAAAATGCTTTCTGCTACAAGATTTATTTCTACTCAGGTTAACACTATATTATAATCAGTTATTGCCTCCTATAGCGTCTAAGCTTTCTATTGGTGAGGTCTGCATTGCAAATGCCTGAACAGCTGTGCCAGCCAATATTAAGAGGTACAGGGAGAAAAAATTTTCACCACAGTCAAGCTCTGAAGATATGACCTCAGGACTGTTTCCTAAAGAGGCAAAGTGACATGAACTCCTCTTTTATAACAGAGTCATCAGTTATGATATGCAATTATAACTTTTCTCATTTGAGATACTGAGAGGGAGACAACTCCTATTCTCTAAAAAAAATGATACAAAGTAGCAAGTCTATTAATATCTTCAGAGGTCATGATTTAATAATTCTTTGGTATATTTATAAATCACTTCCTCTGCTGTCACTTATATAAATAAAATAACAAAGCCCTTGCCAAGTACTATGCTCTAAAACTTCAGTTTATCAAACCCATCCCTTCCTAAATGAAAAACACTGCAAATGGTCAAGAAGTCTCTTATTCCATGATCGTATTTATCAAGGATCTCCTGGGCAAAGGTAGGTATGATCATGCTGATTTTAGAGATGAAAAATTCACAGTTTAGAGCAAGTATTGACAAACTATGACCTGGGAGCCAAATCTAACCCTCCACTTAATTTGTGTGGCCTTTGAGATAAGAATGGCTTTTATATTTTTAAATGGTTGGGGCAAAAGAAATACTTTGTGATATGAGAAAATTATATAGAATTCAAATATCAGTGTCCATAAATACAGTTTTACTGGAACACAGCCACATTCATTCATTTGCATATTATTTATGGCTGCTTTTATACTACAACACAGAATTAAGTAGTTCAATCAGAAACTAGATCACCAAATCTAAAATATTTACTATCAGCCCTCTACAGGAAAAGTTTGCCTACCCATGGCTTAAAGAAATTAAGTAACTTGCTCACAGTATGTAGAAGAGTCTAGTATCAAAGTATTAGCATGATAATCTAACTCTGAAACCTTGCTGTTAATTCTAAAAATAATAAGTACACCTTCTTGCCCAGCACTTGAGAAATTGATAACTTGATCATCTATCACATCATAATCTCAACAAATTCTCCATCAGTTAAGATATTTCTGAAAATCTAAGCCAACAATAAATAAACAAAAATTTCTAAATTATTAGATGAAAAAGACAGCAAATAAATGAAGAAAATTCGATCAATCTAGAAAGGGCAGCAAAAGGCAAGAATAAAAAAATAGTAACTTAAAGAGCATTAAATAAGTTGGTAGTAGTTAACTTCACAAAAATCAGTAATTGAAATAATACAGCTGGGCTCAGTGGTTCAGCCTGTAATCCTGCGCTTTGGGAGACTGAGGTGAGTAGATTGCCTGAGCCCATGGGTTCGAGACCTGCCTGGGCAACTTGCGAGACCTCATCTCTACAATAAATCAAAAACAGCCGGGCGTGGTAGCCGGGAGCATGCCACTGCACTCCAGTCTGGGCAACAGAGTAAGACTCCAACTCAAAAAAACAAAAAAACAAAGAAATAATACAAGGATATGAAATTCTCAGATTAAAAGGCAAAGGTTTTTTAAATTGAGTAAAAAAGATAATAAAAGGCAATATTTAACATCTAGCTTTATACTGCTTTCAAGAGACATAACTACACAGTTTTTTTAAAAAAGAATGGAAAAGATATTATAGTGCAACGCTAATTTAGCACATACAGTAATAACATTAGATTTTAAGGCAAAAACTATGAAATGAGACAAAGAGGAATGGTTTAAGCTAATAAAAGACACAATAGAAAATAATAGTTATATATCTAACGACAGTGTTTTGAAGTTGGTATAATAAAAATAAACAGAAGTCCAGGGAGGAGTGAGTCAATCATAATCACACTCTAAGATGTTAACATACATTCCTCTGAAGTCAACAGAAAAGGAAGAATCAGAAAAAGTCACAACACAATAAGTTTGATCCAATAAATGTTTTAGGTTTTTGTACTCAAACAGAATATATGTATTTTTCAAACACACATAGATTACAAAATAAAAGAAAAATGCAACTTCCAGGTAGATCACTTCAGTCTTACGACTAGTGACTATAGTAAAGTCAGTTTTTCTTCCATTTTGTCATTATTCGTCCCCTGGACAATTTTTAGAAGACATAATTCAAGATGCAAGTACATATTTGGCTTTCAACTATTTCAGAAAATCCTCATAAAAGACAAATGTGAGCAGAGTATCGTACATTCAAAAACTGTTAATTTCATAAGAAGAAACTTTCCTATCTTTATAGGATGGAGCTACTGTTAACTTGACAGAGAGAAAAAAACTAGTATTTCTATAGATTGCTGGAATCTTAGCATCCAGTTATCCAAGGATTTTACTCTCACTACAAAATTGGTTTTTTTTTTTTTAAAAAAGACCCAGACAAACAAATTTAACACTTTTTAGAAATATGAATACAAACCATCCACACAAAAAACACTCTGCCTAGTTGCTGGAAAAGAACAATGACAACTTGCATATTTTTTTTAAAAATAGAAAACAAAACGAAATCATTTTTACCCAAAGCACCGTGCTGTGAAAGACAACATGTATAACCACATTTTCATTAAATCTTTGCAACAGAGGAAGACCAGGACGGCATGGCGTGGCGTGAGTCTAGTGGCGCGCTATGGCGGAATCCTCGGCGACGGGCGCTGGCGGAGAGCTGATGGCGGCGATGGCGGCGATGGCGGCGGCGGAAGGCTCCTCGAGCTCGGCCGGCTTGCCTCTGGGCCGGAGCTTCTCCAACTACCGGCCCTTCGAGCCCCGGGCGTTGGGGCTTAGCCCGAGCTGGCTGCTGGCGGGCTTCTCCCGCAGGAAGGGCTCAGGCTGCACGGCCCCCCAGGAGATGCCGCTCAAACTCCTGGCGGGACTGACGCGGCCGGACGTGCGGCGCCCCCTGGGCCGGGGCCTGGTGGGAGGCCAGGAAGAGGCGGCCCGGGAAGCCCGCCTGCCAGCAGCGACAGGCCCCAGCCCCACATTTCCAGCCCTGGGCATTGGGACAGCTCCTGCGTCATGGCCCTGAGGCATGGGGGCCTCTGGTGCAGATCTCAGACTTCTTTCACCCCTTGGCGGAAGATCCTTACGTGGTGGGGTGCAGAGCTTGTGCCAGCGTGCTGAGTGACCTCTACGCCGTGGGCATTACTGAACGTGACAACATGTTAATGCTACTCAGTGTCAGCCAGGGTATGAGTGAGGAGGTAGCGGAAAAAGGAACGCCACTCACGATCAAAGGCTTTCGGGATGCTGCGGAGGAGGGAGGACTGCAGTGACGGGTGGACAAATAGTAGTCGACCCTTGGACTATCATCCATGGAGTTGCCACTGTGGTATGTCAGCCAAATGAATTCATAATGCCTGACGGACGATGCGGTTGTTGGGGATGTGCTCGTGTTAACCCAACCCTCAGGAACCCAAGTTGCTGTCCACCCAAGTTGCTGTCAATGCCCACCAGTGGCTGGATAATCTTTAAAGATGGTGGTCTCCAGAGAAGAGGTAGAGCTGGCCTTTCAGGAAGCTGCGCTCAATATGGCTACCCTAAACAGAACTGCTGGATTAATGCACACATTAATTCCCATGCCGCTGCAGATATCACTGGCTTTGGCATCCTAGGACATTCTTAGAACCTTGCAAAACAACAAAGAAATGAAGCGTCCTTTGTCATTCATAATCTGCTGATTATTGCCAAGATGGCTGCCATCAGCAAGGCCAGTGGGCGGTTTGGGTTCTTTAAGGAACCTCAGCTGAAACCTCTGGGGGACTACTGATTTGAACAGGCAGCTCGCTTTTGTTCTGAAATAAAATCTTCCAAGTACAGAGAGGGTTACCAAGCATGGATCCTTGGCACTGTGGAAAAGGGAAACATAACAGCCTGAATCATTGATAAGCCTGGAGTTATTGAGGTCCTACCTCGGGGGGGCCACAGCTACTGCTCTTGCTCAGAAAATTCCAATGCCTCCTGGGATCCTAACTCCTGAGATGAAATAGCAAAAGTTGTTTGGACTGTAGAGCCTTTGTACACAATTGTGGACGATTTCCAAGAGGTGGTTTTAAGAAATTTCCAAAGAGGGCTTTCTGCATAGTGGTTCCAGCTGTTCTTCATAGGTGATTTGAGTCAGCCTGTCAAGAGCTGCCTCTCTATATTCCAAGGCCAGAGTAACTTTTTGAACTTGAGGGGAACATTTATGCATCTTTTGGGTAGAAGAGGAGCAGAAAAACCTGTTTCCTCTTTCCAGAGTAAGATGAGGTTGCTTCAGGTTGAGGGATTTTTCTTTGCACTGGGTTGATTAATTTCTGCACAAGGAGTGAGATTATTTATTAAAATTACACACATATGGCCAGCCGTGGTGGCTCACAGCTATAATCCCAGCACTTTGGGAGGCTGAGGTGAGAGGACTGCCTGAGCTCACAGGTTCAAAATCAGCCTGAGCAACTTGGTGAGACCTCATCTCTACAATTAAAAATTATATATATATTAGCCAGGCGTGGTGGCATGTGACTGTAGTTCTGGCTACTTGGAAGGTTGAGGCGGAAGGATCACTTGAGGCTGCAGAGGACACTGCACTCCAGCTTGGGCAACAGAGTGAGACTGACTCAAAAGAAAAAAAAAGTATACACATACACAACTACTGTCGATATATCTAAATTGTTAAGAGACATCTTAAACGCAATGCCATATTCTTTATTAGAGTTTTCTGAAGTACTGGCTCTTTCCTGCTCTGGACAAGAATTGAACAGCCTGTCCAATGACTGGGCAAGGAGGATCTGTGACCATCTGACTTGGTCTTTCTTAATGATGTCTCTCCCTCTAAACCCCATTAAGGACTGGGAGAGGCAGAGCAAGCCCCAGAGCCAAGACCTTGGTGATCATTAAGATGTTAAATCTTGTGCTAAAAAATTCCTGGTGATTTAATCAATAAAGAGTAATTTCTAGGTAAACAAATAAAAGGGACTTAATTGAAAAAAAATCTTTGCAATAACGAATAAGAAGAGGTTTTATTAAACACATAAGTTAGAGTGATAGCTGAAATCCTATAACAGCATTCAGAGGAATAATACCTTTAAACTTGGAAGCTGAGATTTATTTCAACTTTTGAAAAACTCACTTTTAGAATATAGAAAAATGGCACATTTTACAAAATTAGAAATTAAAATACCAAAAGCTTAGATCACTTCTACAAAGTATCACTTAAATATCCATGGGTATATTTTTCTTCCCTCTAAAGCAATAATTTCAAAAGAATATCATCTAAGCACTTTTGCTGTATCTTAAATTCTCAGTTTCATATAAATTATAATTTATCACTATAAGGAAGTAAAAAGTGCTCAAGCTATATCTATAAGAATAAGATTTGGGTTTAAGAATTCGAAAACCAGAAAAATGTACTTTAAGAAAGTGCACGAGTCTCACTGTCGCCCAGACTGGAGTGCAGTGGCACACTCACAATCATTGCATCTTCAACCTGCTGGGCTCAGGTGATCCTTCTGCCTCAGCCGATCCTTCTGCCTCAAACTTCCAAGTAGTTAGAGAACTACAGGTCTGTGCCACCACACCTGGCTAATTTTTAATTTATTGTAGAGACCAGGTCTCACCACGTTGCTCAGGCTGGTCTCGAACCCCTGAGCTCAGGCAATCCTCTCACCTCTGCCTCCCAAAGTGCTGGAATTACAGGTGTGAGTCACCATGCCCCAGCCGTGTTCTATTACTTTCAAGCCTAAGCAATTGGTTCCTGAAACTGTCTTCATATGCCCTCAAGATTGAGAGGCAAGTTAGCACAATTAAGATAATGGGGTCTGGACTCAGGCAGACATGTGCTAGAAAACTGGCTCTGCCACTGGATTGTGCTATCTTAAGTAAGTTTCTTAACCTTTCTAAGCCTCAGTTTTTCCACCTGTAAAATGGAGATGATAATATTACCAACCTTTTATATCTTTTAATCCTCAAAAAAAAGCTCTAGCGGTATAAAACCCTAAGTGTAGCTCCTGGCTTATTTAGAGTAATCACTAAGTATTAGCTATTAATAAAATCTCTCATTAGTTTTATCTAGGTTATGCTAAACCTAAAATAGCATTCCTAGGTGATGAAATTCTAGAGAGTTGAGACAGTTGGAACAGAGGAAGCGGAGTTTGATAGATAGTTACAGCATGGGGAAACCACCACTCAACAGACCTGCTCCCTCATATAATTTCAATATGAAACGCTCCCAGAGTTCCCTGGGCTAAAGTTCTACAAGACTAAAATCAGGAAATGAAGCTATAATTAAACCAAAGGTTTCAGAAGATACACAACTCACCCAGGCTGATCTAAGAGATTGCTATTTGGTTAGTTTGATTACCTGTGCCCTCCAAATCTCATGTTGACATTTGATCCCTGATGTCGGAGGTAGGGCCTAAAGGGAGGTGTCTGGTGTCTGGATGGATCATGGGGATTCATCATTGATTGATGAATGGATCATTCAATCCCTCATGAATGGCTTGGTGTCATTCTCACAGTAAGGACTGCATTCTTACTCTTAATTCCTTTGAGAGCTGCTTTATTGAAAAGAGGCTGGCAACTCCTTCCCTCTCTTGCTTCCTTCCTCTTGCCATGTGATGCCTGCTCCCCTTTTCCTTCTACCATGAGTAGAAGCAGCCTAAGACCCCAACAGACACAGATGTTGGTGCCGTGGTTCTTATACAGCCTGTATAACCATGGGTCAAATAAACCTTTCCTTTATTAATTACTCAGCCTCAAACATTCCCTTCAGGGCAAAGCACAGCAGACAAAGACAGCCTACATGGTAGTATTGAAAGCCTAATTCTACAAATTTTAAAAATATAACTTGAGATAATTAAAAAGATTAACTTGTTTCTGGATTTTTAATGTATGTTGCTTTCTTTCTCATGCAATTTTTTCATCTGTTCTCACTGAGAATAAGATAAAAATAAAACTGCACTTATATTCAACATCCTCCTTAATTAAATGATCTAAATGTAGGAATTAACCCTTGCAGAAGCAGCTGCATAGTCTTGAAAAAAATATTTGCAAAAAACACATCTGATAAATGTGTATATCCAAAATATACAAAAGACTCTTAAAACCCAACAATTAGAAAACAAACAACCTGATTAAAAATGAACAGATACCGCACCAAAAAAAGACATAGACTGTATGTCCACAAAGAAGACATACATTATATGAAAACATGGTCCACCATCAGGTCATCGGGGAAATGCAAATTAAAACAATGAAGTATGAATACACACGTATTAGAATAGCCCAAATCCAAGGCACTGACAACACCAAATACTAGTGGAGCAAAGGAATTCTCATTCATTGATGATAGAAATGCAAAATGGTACAGCCACTTTGGAAGACAGTTTGGTAGTTTCTTATAAAACTAAACATACTGATACCATACAATCCGGCAATCACCCTCCTTGGTATTTATCCAAAGGAGCTAAAAACTTATGTCTTAAAAAACAAAAATCCTAGCCGGGCTCGGTGGCTCAGCCTGTAATCCTGCGGTTTGGGAGGCTGAGGTGAGTGAATTGCCTGAGCCCGCGGGTTCGAGACCCACCTGGGCAGCAAGACCTCATCTCCACAATAAATTAAAAAAAAAAAAAAATCAGCCAGGCATGGTAGCACATGCCTGTAATTCCGGCTACTTGGAAGGCTGAGGCGGAAGGATCACCGGATCCCAGCAGGTCGAGGCTGCGGTGGCCAGGAGCGGCCACTGCACTCCAGTCTGGGCGACAGAGTAAGACTTCAACTCAAAAAAAAGCAAACAAACAAAAAAACAAAAATCCTGCACAGGGATGTTTAAAGCAGTTTTATTCATAATTGACAAAACTTGAAAGCAACCAAGATATCCTTCAGTAGGTAAATGGATAGATAAACTGTGGTACATTCAGATAATGGAATATTATTCAGTATTAAAAAAATACACTATCAAACCATGAAAAGACATGGAGGATCCTCAAATGTATGTTGCTAAGCAAAATAAGTCAATCCAAAAATTCTACATACAGTATTCTTGCCCACTATACAACATTCTGGAAAAGGCAAATCAGTAAAAAAGAAAAAGATGAAAAGATCAGTGGTTGCCAAGGGTAATAGGGGAGATAGGGATGAATCGGCAGAACAGAGGATTTTTAGGGCAGTAAAACTATTCTGAGTGATACTATAATGGTGGAACATATCATTATACATATGTCAAAACCCACAGAATGTACATCAAGAGTGAACCCTAATGTGAATATAGACTTGGAGAGAGAATGATGTGTCAATGTGATGTTGATAGTAGGAGAGGCTGTAAATGTTTGGAGGCAGGAAATACATGGGAACTCTCTACTTTCCACTCAGTTTTGTTGGGAACCTAAAGTTGTTCTGAAAAATGAAATCTACTTTTTAAAAAACAAAAAGGAAATTGAAGAGCAGGCTAGAACCAGAACAAAAGAGCTGTCCCTTTAAAGCCACTGTTTTCTTTTTCTCCAAGGCACACCTATCTCCTTGCAAGAGAGGGAGAATATCCACAACTTTGAAAGGGTGGTCAATTTCTAGAATGTCTTCTTGGGGACCCTAAATTATACCAATAAAAACCTCAAGGATGAAACATCTCAAGACAGTAAGTAGCTCCCACTGTCTACATTTAGTCTATACTTAGAAGCACTAGATTTGTATCTTAAAACAATTCTCAACCCAAAAGCAGCATTTTGAATTCAATACTATTATCAGTGAGATATAGATAATTCAAAATATTACTAGAAATAAGTGTTTGTTAAGGTCAAATTATAGCTTCCTCATAATTCAGTTCTTGAGCTGGATTAATTTTTGAGAATTGAAAGATTTTATTCTTACTACTCAAACTGAAGACTATTGCTTTAATAGTCAATGGTATAGATACATTATAAGCAGAGATGCCAAAATAATTCCAATAACTGATTTAAATTTATCCTCTTTCTTAAGAAGAGATCAGATGAAGCATCCTTGTTGACT